CCCCAAAACCCCAAAACCCCAAAACCCCGGAATAATAAATTTGTATCATTAGTGCAAAAGTATTGTTAAAATATTAAGTAGATCCATAGCAATCTATAATTAATATAAATGAACAAATCTCTTATAATTGCCACTGCTGCCATAGTAGTTTGCGGAATTGCCTCAGCCAAAGAACCATCAAGAGTTGGGTAAACCACCAGACTGATAATAGATCTCTCAGGACCAGGTGCTACAACTCCCAAGACTCTCTTTGGCAAGACTAAAACTCCAACTGATGAGCCGAAATTTCCAAATCAGGTGACTCCATTAGGCCAAAGATAGTAATTCATCGTCGGATAGGAACTTAGAACAAGGTACTACCAAGATGCTGGTTTCTTAAACTACTCTTATGACATCAGTGCACTTTGGATTCAAACAACCTTTGATGCTTAAAATATTGTTAGCACCCAAGCTCATTTACATGGAATTTACCCTCCCTACACTAATATTAATACTCTTAACGATTGGCAATAAAGAAATGCTGTCCCTCCTCTTGATAATGTACTTAATGATTAGTGGACTGCATGGCAAGCAGAGCTCGGAAATCTCGCCCTACTTAACGGATTTAACACTTTCCCCATTAATGTTATGGGTGCAGATGATGACTTCATCCTAAATCTAAGCGTTGATAACTGTCCTGCATACAAGAAAAGCATCAATGACAACTGGGCTGCCTTCGAGAACAGTATTCAAACTAACAATAAGGACTTCATCGGTAGACTCGCTCAATTTGCAGGTCAAACTACCCTTGATCTCAAGACTGCTTTAGACTTCTGTCAATACATCAAGTGGGCTGACCTTCACAATGTAGTCCTCTCTTTTGACTTCACAAGTGATGATGTTTCTAAATGCGATGGTCTTAATACTTAATAAAACAATTTCTTTGTTACCCAAGATTAGGCTCTCAACTTCATTGCTTCTAACTAATTCTTAACTCAAACTCATGATCATATTAAAACTGAATTGGGTAAGCTTGATTACAAGGAGACTCATTTCTACAAATTGAATGCTTAAAAAGAAGAGCATGCAGTTTCAAATGATGAGAAACTTAGAAATAACGTTGACCAAAAGCCAAACTACTTTGTTATGGTTGCCAGTGATGTCAATGTTAGATTAATTCTTTCCGGTCTCCAAGGAAAAACATCAGCTGATCAATCAAATCTTCTTAAGTCAGACACCCATCCAGCATCACTCTTAATGCTTGAACTTGTTCTTGATAAAACTGGAAAACTTATGGTTGAGGCTCAGTTCAATGATGCTGATATCCAATTAGGTGGTTGCTCTGCTCCAGGCCCATGCGATGCCCAAACATTCTTGACCTATCTTGAGAAACAAATTGCTCTTGTAGCAGATGTGTCTAAGGCATGTGCCCTTCCATCTTAAACAGTGCTTATTCAATGAGAGAAGTTCAAAGTTATCTATCTATTTAATATCGATAAAATCAATCTAATCTATCGTAATAAATATTATTAGACAAAAATCTTCTTTGAAAAGAGTTTTTGGGGTTTTGGGGTTTTGGGGTTTTGGGG